TACTACTACTAATTATTATTATTATTATTATTATTATTAATAATAATAATAATAATAATAATATAAATTATTATTATTATTAAGCTGTTCCAATAAATACTTACATAACGCGTTCATTAGTATTACTCAAAATAGACTCAAAAAGTAATTAAATGCCATTGAAATCATTACATTATTATATTGCATGACATAATGACACCAGATTGGTACTAGATTGGTGAACCATGAGTTTGATAAAGTTAACAATGTTAGGCTTATTCCTCATTATATATAAATAGTTCTTTGTTCGTAATTCCCTCCAGTTTCAAGCATACAGACCATTAGTCTCCTTTGTGAGGGCACACAGTATGCAGTTGTGTGTGAATATCATGGGAGTTTTGTTTCCTGAGCTTTGAAAACAGGAGTGGGGCTGTACCTCGCTAATTGGAGGCAGTCGAGCTGAAATCCTTAATTAACTGTCTGAGCATCACTGAAGTTAATTAGAGAACACGCTCACCTAAACCACAGCTCATGACATGTAGAAACAAGGACAATACATCTAATACACATCAGCGGTGCAAATGCACAGATATCTTTGCAAAACACACACAAAAGCAAGCACAGACGTGCAGACTTGTTTTCTTATTAACATGTTTGCAGCTCATGTTAGAAAAACAGCTTTCTGGATTCAGTAGCAAGGGATCCTGGAACAATTAGGAGCTGTAATGCCTTCATTTGTTATGCAATTATAGCTTTTGTTAGTACAGTGATTAATATAAAAATGAAAAAATTATATTATGTTGCCTAGTGCGTGAGCGTTTATAATCTCCTCCATTATTAATGTAACATCTAATATTAATGTCTGTTCTTGCATGATTGTATAATGTAGTATGCTTAATATTGAGGTAATTGCGCTTAAAGGAATAGTTCACCCAATAATAATAATGACTCATATTTTAGCCAGAAGCAACAATTTGAAGTTAAAAACATCCTAACGATGGATTTGTTTACTACAAACAAGCAGCTTTTTGCTTCACAAGATATTGTTGCTGTGTTGTGGATTATTGTGATGTTTTTATCAGCTGTATGGACTCTCATTCTGACGGCACCCATTCACTGCAGAGGATTCAATGGTGAGCAAGTGATATAATGCTAAATTTCTCTCACAACTCATCTCTTGGTTGAGTCAATAAGCAAATTTTCATTTTTGGGTGAACTATTCCTTCAGGTTTAGTTGCTACTCACTGTTGTTAGGGTTGTCTCCTATGATATGGTGCCGCCCACTCCAGTACCAGAGCAACAGAGTGGCATCTCTGGATCCCGACACAATGTAGCAGTCACCACCGATGTAAGACTCTGAGCGTGCCAGACATGTGACCACGTCCCAGTGACCGAACACTATCTGAGTGAGCTTGCCTGCAAACAAACATACAGCATTTACCTTTTGTCCCTCATAATTCAAAGCTCAAATATGTTGGTCAGACCAATAAACATTAATACAGTATCTTGGCCACTCATTTCAATGTAATGAAAGTGTTTGTGGAATGTATACAAAATTACAAAAAGAACAATAAAAGTATCACAAAAGTGAACTATAAGAGTCTTTTGATGTTTCATGAGAGTTCTAGAAAGAAATGGATTTGTGAGCAAAATCTTTTAATGAATCAGTTGACCGGGTTCAAATAACCAATCTAAATGATTCATTCATGATTCAGAGTTCAACTCTGATCCTGACCTGACCTATGGCTTCAGAAGTATAACATACAGTACAAGTCATATGGACTACCTTCAGGATACTTTGATTTAAGGTGAGTAAACGATGACAAAATGTAACATTGTGAGTGAATAATTCCCTTAACGTCCAGTGATTGCATCTTACCTGTGTCTGAAGAGTAAACACGGAAACTCTTGTCCCAGAAACCACACACCAGGATGTAGCGGTTATCAGCCATCACCACAAAACACTGAGTGTTGATCTGAATGCTCTGGTCAACCAGGTCAGTGATTTGTCGTTTGTTTGTGCCTGAGTTGTTAGCTGGAAGAGACATGTTTACAGAGCTCCTTCAAACATGATGCTTGGAATTGAGGTTCATCAGACCAGAGAATCTTGTATCTCACAGTCTGAGGGTCCTTTAGGTGCCTTTTTTGCTTTCATGTGAAGAGAGGATTGAGTCTGGCCACACCGGCATTAAGCACAGATCAGTGGAGTGTTGCAGTGATGTTTGTCCTTCTGTAGGTTTCTCCTATTTCCACATAAGATCATGGAGCTCAGCTAGAGTGACCATCAGCTTCTTGGTCACCACTCTAACAAAAGCCCTTCTCCATCAATTGCTCAGTTTGGCTGAGCGACCAGCTCTTGGAAGAGTCCTGCTGGGGCCAGTTGCATAAACTTAGCCACCATGTTAAGACTGTGTCTTAAGAACTAGTTTGACCAACTAGCAGTTGCCAAAGGGTAATTAGTCTTACTTTGCCAATACAAATAAGACCAATCTACCTTTCATAACTGAATTAAAAAAGCTATGACCAGTCTTGAAGAAAAACAATTAGTTGACTAACTTTTTAAGACTAGTCTAAACAGTTTATGCAACCGGCCCCTGAAATCAATCGACTTACAAAAAATAAAATAAAGGTATAATTTATTGCAATACAAATTCCAAAGTTTGGATATGCTAAGATTTATGTTTTTTTTGTGTATAAAATGTGCAAGTTCAGCGTTTACCTTCTTTACTAAAGCTAAAGCATGTGACTTTATTGCAAATATGATGACACTCCCACATCTGCTATTAAGCAGACAAATGGATAGTCTCACCACAAACTCCTGCTATAGGATAAATCAAAGTTGCTGTGTCGATTTAGTTGGGATATTCTTCAAAACAGAGCAATAGAGGGACACAGTGTTACACTTTTCATGGAAACGAATCTACTGTACAAACAGATTACTTCAATTAGTTATGAATGGGATAGAAGAAAGTATTTTAACAACAAAAAATGTCAAACCCACCAATCAGTGAGTCCATCTCGATGGGGAGGTGATGGGCCTGCTCTAGTGAATATCCCGGAGCTCCTCGAAGACCTACATACACACAGACAATAAAAGAAATCAAAAACACACCGTTCAGTACCTGGAAAACCCCTTCCTCAGTATTTTTGTCTTGTTTTTCAGTAAATATATCTAGGTAAATCAAGATACATTTACTTGAAAAGCAAAATGACTTATATTTAGTTTTTTCTAAAAACAAAAAACAAATAATAATAATAATAATAAAAAAAATTAAGTGACTCTATGCTTCAAAACTCTATGCTAAAAACAAATCTGCCAATGGGGTAAGAAAAATACATTGAATTTAAAGGGGAAAAAAATTCTGATCCCATTTGGCAGACTTTTTTTTTCTTATTATTTTAAATATAAAGCTGCTTAATTTTGATAAAAAAAATTTCAGAAAACAAGACTTGTTATCTTATGGCATAGAATAGAAATAGAATAGAGAGAGTGTTAGAGGGTCAAATTATTATTATTATTTTTTATTAATAAATAAAAAGAAAACCAGTAATACAAATAGAAAGAGAGTGCTAGTGTTAGAGGGTTAATTTTTTATAGTAAATAAAAAAAATAAGTAGACAGAATAGAAACAGAATTGAGAGTGCTAGTGAGGGTTATGTTTTTTGTAATTAATAAAAGAAAACAAGTAGATAGAATAGAAATAGAATAGAGTGTGCTAGTGTTAGCGGGTCAAGGTTTTTTTAATAAATAAAAAGAAAACAATTAGACAGAATACAAATAGAAAGAGAGTGCTAGTGTTAGAGGGTTAATTTTTTATAATAAATAAAAGAAAATAAGTAGATAGAATAGAAACAGAATTGAGAGTGCTAGTGTTAGAGGGTCAAGTTTTTTTAATAACTAAAAAGAAAAACGTAGATAGAATACAAAGAGAAAGAAAGAGCTAGTGTTAGAGTGTTACAGTAAGTTTTTTTTAATAATAAATAAAAAGAAAACAAGTAGATAGAATAGAAACAGAATAGACAGTGCTTGTGTTAAAGGGTCAAGTTTATTTATTTATTTATTTTGTACTATTTTTAAATATTTGTACTGGAAAACAAAACAAAAATCCAGAGAAATAAAATAATTTTTGCTGTGACACCCTCACAAATTTCTTGCCCGGCCTCCACAGTTAAGTCCACTTCCTGACCCCGTCCCATATGACATGAGGGCTTTATGGAGACCCACCAGTAAGATCTCCATGGTGCTTATTGATTTCTCTCCCTCTCCAGTGTCAGGCAGGCCTGAGCTATAGCACCCTTGAGGCAGGCCTACAGGCACAGACCGCCATTTTCACTCAGTGTGGCGGCCTTATTATGTTCATTATTTGGTGGGACCAACACACACTCACGGCTGGAGAGGGCTGGTCCTGCAGCTGCAGCCATTAGTAGTGTGAGAGAGCGAGGTTGCCACGTTTGGTCCTGACATCACTATGTGTTGCTGTGACAGCTGGGGAGGTGTGAAGCGAAAGGAGAGGCCGTGATAGGCTAATTTAGCCCTTCGCCACGGCGCCCGACCTCTGACCCGCAGGTGAGGGGGGCTCCGGGGGAACGGCTAGTTGGGTAATGTTGTTCACACATGGCCAAGTGGTAACATGTGGAGTGTAGCTGCTTTTTGTTGCCATTTTTTCTTGATTTGCAGGTGAAATCAAGCTATTAGCTGGTTAGCTAGTACACACAGACTCACCCACGGTGTTATGCCAGCGGTTGACGGCGAAGAGCCGGCTGCAGGTGATGGTGACGACGGCGGGGAGGGTCAGGTGCGGCAGTGTGTTGGCAGCCACGTGAGTGACGGGAGAATTGGAGGGAAACTTTAGCACCATGATGACATCCTGCTGCATCTGATCCTTAAACATGAGCGGACTCTGCGGAAGGAAACACTGTTGAACAGAGAAAGCAAAGGAAGAGAAGGATGGAAAAGAGGGGGAGGGAGAAATAGACGAGGAGAGGTTGTTAGCAAAGAGGAAAGATGTAAAAAAAATTTTAAAAAAAGAGTTGGAAAACAGAGGATAGATATATATATATATATATATATATATATATATATAGTTCAAAAGTCTGTAAGATTTTTTTAAGTCTATTATGTTCACCAAGGCAGCATTTATTTGATCAACAATACAGTAAAAAAGTAATATTGTGAAATATTGTTATTTTAAAAATATATATTTTATAATATATTTAAATATTTAAAATGTAATTATCCCTATGATGGCAAAGTGGAATTTTCAGCATCAATACTTCTGTCTTCTGTGTCACATGATCCTTCAGAAATCTCACTAATATGCTGATTTGCTGCTCTAGAAACACATCTTACCATCAATGTTGAAAAAAATATTTGTAATATTTTTGTGGAAACGGTGATACATCTTAGGATTCTTTAATGAAAAGGAGCTCAAAAAAGAAAAGTATTTCTTTTAAAAAGAATAGTTTTGTGATAAACAAAGTCTACTGTCATTTTTGATCAGGGGCGTAGTCATAATTTCAGAAGTGAGACAGAAATGTCAAATGCTGATTGATTGATTGATTTATGACTAACTGACAAAAAAAAAAATCTATTTTCTTATCTCTTACTTTTAATTGGCTAAGAAACTTCAACACTCTGCTGGACAATAACCAATAATCTGTATTTTATAATATTTGTGCCTATATTTTTCTAATTGCAATTTTATGATTGGTTTATATACTACAAACGCTTTTTCCATTTTTAATCACAGAATAAGGCAGAAAATATATTTCATAGTTTCTGTGCTGTAATAAATGATATGTCAATTAGCACTGCATTATTCATATACTTCATTTATTTATTATACCTGGACTGGAGATGACTTGAAAAAAACACATAAACCATATATTGTCGCAATTGTGCATTTATTGTCTTCACGTTTCATCGTCAAAACGTTTATGTACTTTCTATGAGGCTTAGCTCCATCGATTGCTAGATGCCTTTGTCATAAGTCATTATTGCTTCTCTGAGTCCGTTTCGGATTTTCAGTGCGAGGGCGCCCTCTGGCTTTGAGTATGAATGAAACATACAGTGCAGGAGAGTGTTTAGCGCTCCATAATGTTCACATCGTTTTGTTTACGAATAAGTATATACGTATACGACTAGGAACAACTATTCAAAACAATGTGACTATCTAGTCTCTTTGAATTTAAATCTAGATTTATTCGCACTGGCTCTTGAAAAACTCTTGCCGAAAAAAGTGCAAGGGACGAATTTACGTTTCATTAAAAGTGGGAGGATGAAAAAAAATCTTACTGACCCCAAAAATATTATAAAATAATATAGTCTGGATAAAAACACTTTAAACTGACGTTACAGTGGTGAAAATCTGCAATCTGCGATAATTTCAAAAACTTGTTTTACTCTGATTTGAGGAGCATTTCATTATAGACATCTTTGGCAACCACAAACTTTGACGGTGAAACTTCTAGCAGTAGGCTGCACACAGTTACTTAGAAATATAAACAAGCGCTAATTATAAAACTTGTATTGACAGCATTACAACATTCACTTTGTAAACTCCAGTCTGATTGTTATGACAGATGCTTGATTGAGATGGGAATGATTAGTATTGAAGTGTGTGGACTTATATGGCCAGTAGAGAGCACTGTTCTCCTGACACAACTATCTGAGGATTCTCTGTGATGGAGTTGTGAGCTCCTGTAAGTATGGCAGGTCTGTGTGTCATGTATTTGTGTTAGGGCATGTGTGTGGCTCTGTGAAGGTTGTTGTACACAGAACCAGTGACTACCTGGAAGTAGCAGCAAGTGGGTGCAAGTAAGGAGAACACTACAAACTGGATAACGCCTACAGTACAATTACAAAGAGGAAATCAATAGAAATGGCCTGGATTACATAATATATGTGTGTGTACTGTGTATATTTATTATGTATATATAAAGGCACACACATACAGCATATATTTTGAAAATATTTGCATGTATATATTTATATTCATATAAATGATATCATATATAAATATATTTAATATATAAACGTAACATATTTTTCTTAAATATATACATGCATGTGTATTTATATACATAATAAATATACCAAATTCACACACGCATATATTATGTAAACAAAAACATTTATTTTGGATGCGATTGTTTGACAGCACTAATATATATATATATATGCGCCTTTTTTGGTTTTCATAAAAAAAAAACACAAGGATTCGATTTTTTGTTTTTACATACAGGAGGAGAAATAAAGCTTGAATATTGTGAACATTTTACAAATTCTTTCATTATGGTTTCATGAACCATCTAAGCAAACCAATTTACTTTGGCCTTACCAACACTACATATGAGAGGAAGCAAAAAGCAAATCATTATTGCATTGCTCAGGTTGTGTTCAATACAACAATACATTAAAACCAGTGATTAAGCATTTTGTCCCTGGAAAGAGTTAATTTTTACTGGAAAAAATTCTAATGCAGTTAAATTAATAGATCTGAAATGTAGTTACAATAGCACTAACTATTTTTAACACTTACAGTGGGGCAAATAAGTATTTGATACACTGCCGATTTTACACACACACTGACTCTAACAATATACAATAGGAACAGGACTATTAATAATAGTACTAATACTAATCATGCATTAAAGATCACAAACGCACCACAGGAAAGATAATACCGTAAAGTGAATGATTACATCCTTTTTTGAGTCTAAAGCACACTTATAAATCGTTATGATGTAATTTATATTTAGCCATTTAGCAGATGCTTTATCCAAGGCAACTTACAAATGAAGAACATCAGAAGTTTCAAGAGCTAGTTGTACAGAGGCTGGAGTAGAAGCTGCATAAAATAAATGTACAAAAATAATCATATACTATATAATAATTAGTGTATATATGTATATATACATGTATACATTTCAGAAAAATATTTTATGTTTATATATTAAATGATAAATTATATGAATATAAATATATACATGTAAATACATGTAAAAATTTTCAAAATATATACTGTATGTGTGCGTATTTATATATACATAATAAATATACACAGTGCACACACATATATTATGTAAACAAAAACTTTTATTTTGGATACGATTAATCTCGATTAATCATTTGACAGCACTAATAATAATCTTATAAGCACTATATACTGTAGACAATTCTAATAATCCTTATTCACAAGTCTGTCAATGTTAATTGTCAATTCTTGCAAAAATCACTTGAATTTGGAATTAAAAATGTAGAATCTGACATTTAAATTTCTCAGATTTTAATGCATTTCAAAAGTATCATAGTTTCCAACTCGTAGCTTCATATGAAACTGTTAAATTCATAATTGGGCAACTGACATAAATTACAAAGTTCCCACCGTGACACGAGTCCCCATGAGTCTGTGTGTATTCAGGTTTAAGTCCCCACCAGAATAGAAAAACAGGTACACACACACACACACACACACACACACATTTATTCAGCAAAGATGCATTAAATTGATAAAGTGACGGTAATGATATTTATAATGTTACAAATATTCTATTTAAAGTAAATGGTGATCTTTTGAAGTTTCTATTCATCAAATAATCATGAAAAAAAATGTAAAAAAGATATCACGGTTTCCACAAAAAATATTAATCTGTGCATCTGTTTCAACACTGATAATAATAAGACATGTTTCTTGAGCAGCAAATTTGAATGATTTCTGAAGGAACATGTGACACTGAAGACTGGAGTAATGACTGCTGAAAATACATTTTAATGTATATTTATATAGAAAATAGTCGAGTCGAATTATAATAATATTTTACAATATTACTGCATTTTTGATCAAATAAATGCAGAATTGGCATGAGACTTCTTTTAAAAACATTTTAAAAACCTTACAAACTCAAAACTTTTCAACAGTATTCGGGAATTTGACGTGCTACAGTGTAACATGTTTTAAACCCTTTAAAAAAAGTTTACTTGACCTAATGTTACTATTACACAATAAGATTTACTTTTGCCTTTTATATGATATGAGCCATAAACTCAGATGAAGAGTAAAAAATCATTGAAGAAAGGACAGAAACCCATTCATCCCTCACGTTATGTAATGCTGACAGACGCATGTCGCCGTGTGTTGGTTATTGATTGGCTGTGTGTTTGTGTATGTGTGTGGAGAGTGTGCGTGTGTGCCACTGTGCACGGTAGCATTGACAGACACCTACAAGCTCCCCTCGGCTGTTTTGAGGCTCTGATCCCATCAATCTTTCCTTCCCGCGTGGAGCGCCTCCCACAGTCTAACAGAACAGCTCGCCCTCAGCGCTCTGAAGCCTGGACGCTTGTGTCAGATCAAACGTCTGCTTTATCCATGTCACCACACCGGCCAGATCTGCATGTTAAACCTGTCACATGATCTGCACTGCAAAAAAATGATTTTCTTACTTAGTACGTCTTGTCTTCCAGTAAAAATATCTACAGTAAACATGCCTAAATCAAGATACACTTAAGAATACAAATAGACTTAAGATAGTATGTCTTGTCTGAAAAATGTAGCAAAATTAAGTTTTTAAAAAAAGTTATTTTATGCTAAAAACAAGAAAAAACATCTGCAAAAGGAGTAAGAAAAGTAAACTTCATTCAAAGGGAAAAAGATTTTTATGCAAAAAAAAGATAGAGAGAGATAGAGAGGGAGAGAAAGAAAAGAAAAGAAAAGAAAGGGGAAAGAATTATATTTTTAAGATATATTTTTCTTATAATATCTTATGTCCTTCTGCTTTTCAAGTCTTGATTTACGAATGTTTAGATATGTACTGTAAAATAAGAATTTATTTTTTATTTTTTTGCAATTTACACGATTAGAACTGAAACCATTCGGAATTCTAAACTCTAAATTCTAAAATTTGAATGTTGCATTCACAATGTTTATATTAGTGCTGTCAAATGATTAATCGTGATTAATCGCATACAAAATAAAAGTTTTTGTTTGCATAATATATGCGTGTGTTCACATGTATTTACATGTATATATTTATATTCATATAATTT